GATCTCGTCTAGTAAGTATCAAGACATGTTCTTAATAAGGAGTGTTCTCATTTTTGTTGCAGACTTCCCATCTCATCAATCAAGGAAAATGTCGTTAAGTTACCGTCAGCAACGCAAGGCCAACGAATTAGCTGCGAGAACTAAGCCAAGGATTAACCCAGAGACCTTGGAAGCTCACGTCCAACCAGGGACCTTGGAAGCTCACGTCCATCCAACCAGGGACCTTGGAAGCTTGCATTCAATCCGAGCAGCAGCTTACGAGTGCTGAGACCTCAAGGTCCCTTGGAAAAACTGCTTCACCGGTTTCAGGAAAGTCTACGGAGGTTCCAACTCTCGAAACTATTGAAATAAAGGTAGGAAAAAATAAAGGTAGGAAAAGTCATATAATTGAGGAATCAAGCGTCCTCGACGTCCTCTGGAACATCAACATGCATATTGCCTAAGAATGAACCTGCATTAGTGCCGAATTCATCAAAAAGCTTAGTCGTGACGAGCTCCGAGGTAGTGGTTAGCTCAGGAGAGATCAGAGGTAAGAAGTTTCATCTGAGACATATCGAGTTTAAGAACCCTTACCTCGGCTTCGGCGAGATCTTTTGCGTACTTATCTTGCTCAAATAATCAAGGAAAATAAAATCAACAAGGTGGAGAGATGGAAAGATAGGAAGGTTTCAGCTTGAGAAGAAGAATACCTTGTCAAGAGAGACCACATCTAGCTCAGCTTGGAAATCCGTAAACTCACCCTTGATGATGACCTCAAGAAGCTCGACATTAGCCTTCATCTCGGAGATCTTGACAAAAGGTTCAAGCATTGCGTTCTTTCCCGCTATGTGCGACTTCACCAAGTCGAGGGTTGTCTTAAACTTGATAGCAAGATCCTTTCTCGCCTCACGCGTTGTGGTTTTCAGGTCTAACTCCCGAGTATCAGCTAGCACTTTGTACTTCCGCTCCACCTTTGCGAGTTGAGCCTTAGCCAACTCTTCATTCTCAGTCAGCAGCGAGATAGTTTCCCGTGCAAAGTTTAGTTTTTCCCAATGCTCATCGCGGGTGGCCTCGACTTCCTTGAGTTTGCGCTCTAGTGACTTAGCACGAATAAAACGCTCATCACCAAGGCGAAGAGCTTCGACATTCTTCGTCTCTGCATCATGCAATTCCGCTAGCTCAAATTTCAGAGTAGTGATGGTAGCATTCGCCTCGGTAAGCTCAGTCGAGGTGGGAGCTGCTTGGAGACGAGTCTGATACGCGGAAACAGTGTTGTTGAAGGCTGCGAGAAGCTGTGAACACAAAAAAAACTAAGTCAAATCTACAAATTTTAAAACCAAGTCAAGAAAGAGCAATAAGGAACCTGTATGTCAAACGGGCTAGCCCGGCCCGGCCCGGCCGAAACCTGTAAAGCCCACATATATATAAGCTCGGCCCGGCCCGGTCCGAAAAATATTCGGGCCTATTTTTCAAAGCCCGACCCGGTCCAAACAGGGCTACAGGGTTTTATGGGTTTTTCGCATTTATATATAAAATAAAAATAAATTAAAAACAAATATTATTTTCCAAAATAAATCCAAATTTAAATAACTATCAATATGTTTTTATCGAAATCTAATTTAAATAAAAGAAAAAGTGTGACCAAATAAATGCAAACGTCAAATGAATTCAAATAACTATAAATAAATAGTACTGTCAAATAAAACATAAGCAAAATACTAAAAGTCCAAGTAGTAGAATAAGAGTTTTTGGTAAACGAAATACATATATATAAATTATTTTAACTAATTTATCTTTAAAAGTATCTTTAAACAAAATTTATTACTAAATTTATAAATTATATGTTTATTTTCGGGCTTTCCGGGCCGGCCCGAGCCCAACAGAGCTAAAGCCCAAACTCAATAACCCGAATGGGTTTAGTCCGAAAGGCCCGATTTTTTTTGGACTTATATATTCAGACCGGAGCCCGGTATTTTTAAGGGTTGGGCCGGGCCGGGCTGGGCTTCGGGCTTTGATCCTAATTGACATGCCTACCTGGAAGTTGCAGTACGCGAACTCCTCAAAGTTGACACGATCCACCGGAATAAGATATTTCAGCGGAGGGAGTGCGCATCCTAGTTTCCTGAAGTGCCTAAACAAGTGAGTTGCGGAAGTAGGATCCTCAGTGGAGTTAAAATTTGTAGATTTGACTTAGTTATTTTTTTGTGATCACAGCTTCTTGCAGCCTTCAACAACACTGTTTCCGCGTATAAGACTCGTCTCCAAGAAGCACCCACCTCGACTGAGCTTACCGAGGCGAATGCTACCATCACTACTCTGAAATTTGAGCTAGCGGGATTGCATGATGCAGAGACGAAGAATGTCGAAGCTCTTCGCCTTGGTGATGAGCGTTTTATTCGTGCTAAGTCACTAGAGCGCAAACTCAAGGAAGTCGAGGCCACCCGCGATGAGCATTGGGAAAAACTAAACTTTGCACGGGAAACTATCTCGCTGCTGACTGAGAACGAAGAGTTGGCTAAGGCTCAACTCGCAAAGGTGGAGCGGAAGTACAAAGTGCTAGCTGATACTCGGGAGTTAGACATCAAAACCACAACGCGTGAGGCGAGAAAGGATCTTGCTATCAAGTTTAAGACAACCCTCGACTTGGTGAAGTCGCACATAGCTAGAAAAAACGCAACGCTTGAACCTTTTGTCAAGATCTCCGAGATGAAGGCTAATATCGAGTTTCTTGAGGTCATCATCGAGGGTGAGATTACGGATTTCCAAGCTGAGCTAGATGTGGTCTCTCTTGACAATGTATTCTTCTTCTCAAGCCAAAACCTTCCTATCTTTCCATCTCTCTACCTTGTTGATTTTATTTTCCTTGATTATTTGAGCAAGATAAGTACGCGAAAGATCTCACCGAAGCCGAGGTAAGGGTTCTTAAACTCGATTTGTCTCAAATGGAACTTCTTGCCTCTGATCTCTCTTCTGAGCTCGCCACTACCTCGGAGCTCGTCGCGACTAAGCCTTTTGATGAATTCGACATTAATGCAAGTTCACTCTTAGGCGATATGCGTGTTGATGTTCCATAGGACGTCGAGGACATTTGGTTCCTCAATTCTATCACTTTTCCTACCTATATTTTTTTCTACCTTTATTTCAATAGTTTCGAGAATTGGAACCTCTGTAGATTTTGCTGGAATCGATGAAGGAGTTTTTCCAGAGAACCTCGAGGTCTCGGCAGTAGTAAGCTGCTGCTCGGATTGAACGCAAGGTCCCTGGTTGGACGTGAGCTTCCAAGGTCTCTAGGTTAATCCGTGGCTTAGTTCTCGCAGCTAGTTCATTGGCCTTACGTTGCTAATGGGAACTTAGCGACATCTTCCTTGATTGACGAGATGGGATGTCGAGGACGCTTGATTCCTCAATTCTATCAGTAGATTTGAAAAAACGGAAGACACTTATCATCTAGAACGATTCAGATCACACCGAAATATAAAGAAGCAGAGACGAAAAGTAGTCGGAGCGAGATCACCAGATGAGATTTGTTAATCTAGGAAGAACCAGTTTGCGAGATGAACTAATTGACTCAATGAACACGTAACGTAAAAATGGCTAAGTAGGAAAGAAACAAGTTTATCGCATATATTGCTAGAGAGTTCAGCCTCCCCTCCTCCCTAGTCTTATTTGTATATATACTTCTCACAAGGTGCGAGAATCGCGTTCCCACATTACAATCTCATTCAGTTCTTTTAACTCCTCTTTGACTTAGACTTTACGAGATTTGAATGTTAAACGAACTTTCTATCTTTCAATCCCCGCGGACCTCACTGACCTCGCGGACCTCTCTAATCTAGGGCCCAATGCTACTCGACAACTCGCAGCCCACGTTTGGGACCTCGTGGACCTCTCCAATCTAGGGCCCAATTGTACTCGACAACTCGCGGCCCATGTTCGAGACCTCGTAGATAAGACGAAATCGATTCTCAGTAACTTAAACAAACCGGCTCGTTTTCTTGTTCGCGAGGTGGGCTTTCTTTAGTGGAATTTGGCTATCTCTGGAACTTGATCCCGAGTTACTGGGTCGAATCTCGTCATACAGAACCCGACGCCAACAGCGGGGATGATGAAAAAGGCGAGCTCCATGGTGCAGTTCTGGTTTCTTAGTACCTCCTTCAAGGCATCTCCATGGTTACGACTGGTCATATGGACGAGCTCTCGCTCTCAGGTGTCGCAATCGCCAACGTGACTCTGTGTGGTCAAGCTTTCGTAGCCGAACGATTTGGAAAAATTGGTGCATACAGTTACAACTCAATGTGATAGAGAGGAGAATAAGAAACAGATTTAGAAAGCATAAGACAAGTGATAAAGCAGAGAAGGAGTAAGTGAGCTGGCAGAATAGAAGACAATGATTGGTTTAGAGTCCTTATCGAGTGTATTGGTGTTTGTTAAAGGGCTTTAGTATAAAGAGACCCTCTAATACTCTTTGATTACATAAAGAAAGGTTTTGGTTCTTGTCACAATGCTCTGTCTTCTCGTTTCCGTTTTCCAATTTCTCTTGAATGGGTTTTCATGGACAAACTCTTGGAGTTCTTCCATCAAGATCCCCAATTAGCTTGCAGATACTCAATCTGGCTCATATCGGCTTTATTCAGACGCTCTTCTTCAACCTATGACTCTATTTCCAGTAGCAATGATTGGTTCTTCCTCTTTTCGAGAACTCTCTTGGCGCTCTCTGTTATCACATTTGCTTCTGTTGCCTCCTCTATAAATTGAGATTTGGCATCGTTGCCTCCGCTTTGTTCATTGGTTTTCCGTATCGGCTCAACGTATTTTTGCTTTGGATTTTGTATCACGAAATGAGAAGAGCCCATCTCGAGCATGAAGCAGTTCATCACTCTCACCATCCCCTCTGCAATGATAATATGGATATCTACGTCCAAGAAACCTGTTTCAAACAACCTAGCCCACTTTACCAAACCAACAAAGGCGTTGCAAAACATCTTGGTGACCTCACAAGAGACGCAACAAGCAGCTCAACATGATGAGGCAAGCCAAGTATACTTTCTCAGAAATATAGTGAAGAATCAATCTCATGTACATTGCTTTACCAACCCTTTTTCTCCCCTTTTTACTAATTTTTTGTTTACCTTGTTAATATCCCAAAAGCTTGTATCTCTGGCCAGTGACTATACAAGTAAACAAGGAACTCAAAAAAACAGAGGCCAACTAAAAGAAGAGCATGATGGGGATTTTGAGCAGCTGTATCTGCAAATACTTGAGCTTCATCTTCATCTCTAAACATCGATAGAAACGAGTTAAGTTATTCTGAGGAAGCACCGCCTAAAATCCATAGTAGCATCGAGTTGAACGAGCTCATCGCGCCTGCTTGCGGGTTAGGCTCTACGGGAATGGTGTTTGCTGCGTTCCCTTAATGTCCTTGATTGTTGCATTGGATTTTCGGCTCCTCCATCTGCTGTTGCTGCTGGAATTCTTGCTTCTATGTTTTGGTTTGGGATTATATTGTTCGGTCCAGATGGAGATCGGTTCCTTTGTTGTTCTGTTTGGAGTTTGTTTCTATTATATCTCTGACAAAAAAAGCTACATAAAGAGCTGAAGCCACGTTGGTGTCACCCAAGAATTCCATCAAAAGATGTACCACTGTGCTTGCTACTTCAGGGAACCGAACCGCACAAGTGTGAATAGCTCGGAGAATCATCTGTCTATAATCACCATTCTTCTCAAGCTCTCCGCTTTGTTTCTTCACAACTTCTTTCTTCAATGTCTGCACGACCTCGTTGACATTCTGATGAGTGACCAATTCAAGAACAATATCAAGTGTCTTCCTCTGAATGTCGAGATTTAGACTAGAMAGTGCTCTCAGCAAATCCATGATCATCTCAACCATGATATCCCTATGAGAGGCTTGGAGCTCATTCAACCTATCGAGCACTATAAGCTTCACATTGTTATCACTTTGAGAAACAACAAGCTGGCAGTAGGTGCT